CACCACCTGTCTGGGAGCTGTCTTCATCTCGTCACGAATGGGGCAAGCCTAAGGGATTACCCCTTGACCCTGCTGATGCAACCTCTGGTGCCTGGGAGGAGTCTGGGCAAAGGGGCCAGGCCAGGCCAGGGCCAGGGAATTTGCGAGAGAATGACAGCCTTACATTTCCAGCAGAAATCAGAAAACCTGATCTTGCACATCTAAGAATAGTCACTGGTTTCAACCGTGAGAGGTGCCAAAGTGAAAGCTATAATTATTAGTAGGTAACAAGCAGAAATTAGCCACCAACCGCAAAGTCACTTTTAGCTGCCATCCCAATGCCAACATTGAAAAATGGGTACCAAGAAGCTGTTTGGCCTGGGAAAGACCCTGGCTCAGGGCTGAGGGGCTGTGGATGTGCGAATTTCCAACGCCAGCCGTAAGGCGTGCACGCAAGGAAGACAAGGAATGGCTCCTGAGGAACCGTGTCTTCAGGTGCCACATCCCATGTTCCAATGGGGCGCCCCTGACTTCTGCACAGCGAGACGGCAAAGGTGCTCACTTCTCTCCAGCCTGGGCTCCCACATTGCAAGATGGAGAAAATAACCTCCCTCCAACGTTCTTTACAGGAGAGTGTATGGACAAATGGTACTGGAAGATACCTGGAACTTTTAGGAAAAGAAACCAGAAACATGGGTAGTTGCCTTCTAAGTATCTTGGGAGGCACAGATGCCATAAGAAAAGATTATCAATAAATCCATTTTTTTTTAATTGGCAAAAAAGACAAACAAAAACTTAGACGTTTGGAAGTTGCTTACAACACCTATTTCAGACACAAGGCAGGTTTCTTTGACACACAATAAATATTTAGAAATAAAAAGGAAAAGCTCAGTATCTAAGAAGATAAATGGTCAAAAGCTATGGACAGAAAATTGAAATACCATTTTCTACTTGTCAGATTGGCAAAGATCAAGGCTTTTGAGAATTCATTGTGTTGGCAAGGGTGTGAGAAAGTGGGCGTTGGCACGCTGGTGACTGGAATGTAAATTGGTCTAATTCTGTGGAGGGCAATGGACAAAACTTAGCAAAATTAAAGAGTTACACACCCCTGGATCCATCAATTCCACTGTTTTGAGTTTATCTTACAGATAAAAAGAATACACAGTTGGCCCTCAGTATCCACGGGGAATTGGTTCCAGGACCTCCCGCGAATACCAAAATCCATGGATGTTTGAGTCCCTGACAGATCTGCATATAACCCATGCGCAACCTCCTGTGTACTTTAAATCATCTCTAGATTACTTATAATACCTAATACAATGTAAATGCTTTTTAATAACTCTTATGCAGTATTGTTTAGGGAATAATGATAAGAAGGCAAAGTTTGTACATGTTCAATACAGACACATTTTTTTCAAATATTTTAAATCCAAGGTTGGTTAAATCCATGGATGCAGAACACAAGAATGCGAAGGGCAGACTGTGTACGGGGATATCTACTGAAGCATTACCTGCATTACCTGCAATAGCAAAATACTGGAGCAGGGGAGCTCAAACCACATAAGGTAAAACCCGACGGTGCAGGGAGCTGTTTTCTTCTAAATCTACCTCTTAAAAGGCTATGTAAATGGATGATATGATTCTAAATGTTGACTTAAGCAAAGTCAGTGCTTTGAAAGAGTCAATATGGTACAAATTGATATAACACTCTAAATGTTATCAGCTGAATTTAAGATTCAAATCTAAATGTTAATCAGTAGAGTATCGGTTCAACGATGGTCTAACCATACTTGATAAATCTATTTTTTAAAAACTGGCAAAAAAGACAAACAAAAACTTAAAAAAAAAAAAAAACCCTTCTACTCTAGCTGTTACAAAGCACAAGTCACCTTACAGGTGCTGATGTGCACCTACCTACCAGGTAGCACGGTGCGTGAGATTTCTGGAAGGTGCACAAGGCCGGGGACAGTGGTTGCCTGTGGTGGGGTAGGGGCACTGAGGCTCAGGGATAGGAGGGAGCCTTTCCATTTCATGGCTTCTCAATTGTGTGCCATGTAACCTGTGGAAGGGAGCCCCTACCACACAGCAAATGGGACCCGCTGTGGGCAAGCACCCCTCATTTCCTGGGTCTGTCCCCTTACAAAGTGGCTAGCGGCACAGATGTCCTAGTCACGGTCTCCTTGCTGTGCACATCACAGACAAGTGGCCTAGGGACTCTCTGCTACAATAGGCTGGAAATCCAAGGTCGTCTCCGAGTGGCCTTTCCTGCAAGCCTCAAATCTGGGTCCACACTCGCTGTGGGTTCCCATCACGAGCTCCTACTGTGCTCAGACCCACCGGGAGAGAGCAGGCCCACAAAGGCCACACAGACACCATGGCTTTGGGTGTCTTAAATTTCTTCTAAAGCCTACAAAATGGATGGACTCTGGCAGTATTGTGGGAGCTGATGATGGACACAGGAAGCAGATGTTACCTGGTTTCTATGAACTGCCAAAAAACGGAGTCACGCTTATTTTTCCTCTCAGAGCAGTGCGACTCAAATCACATAAGGTAAAACCTGGCAGTGCAGTGGAAACTATCTGTCTTCTTCTAAATTTTCCTCTTGAAGGACTATGTGGATATATGATACGATTCTAAATCTTGACTCAAGCAAAGTCATTGCTTTGAAAGAGTCAATATGGCACAAATTCCAAAAGCATCCTAATTGACTCCATTCATTAGTCCTACATGCTAATGCTCACCACGTGCATACAGCATACAGGTGCATACAGGTGCTCAGGGTCTACAGTCACTTTCCACAGTTCAATTCTACCACCTTCTAGAATGGTAAAGCTACACCCATTTGCTAGGAAGGAGAACGTGACTGTCCTATGGGCCATGCAATGAGAAATGGATCTTGTGTGATTATATAAAAATTCAAGGACAGCTCCAAGCAGGCTGGGAACAGTGGCTCACACCTGTAATCCCAGCACTTTGGGAGGCTGAGGCAGGCGGATCACCTGAGGTCAGGAGTTCGAGACCAGCCTGGCCAGTATGGCGAAACCTTGTCTCTACTAAAAATACAAAAATCAGCCAAGCATGGTGGTGGGCACCTGTAATCCCTGCTACTTGGGAGGCCGAGGCAGGAGAATCACTTGACCCGGAAGGTGGAGGCTGCAGTAAGCCGAGATTGCACCATTGTACTCCAGCCTGGGTGACAAGAGCGAGACTCCATTCCCCGCCACCCCCAAAAAATAAAATATAAAATAAAATAAAAGGATAGGTCCAAGCTGAATCTTAGCCATCAAGTTCTTCGATATTCCAATAATCAGCTACAAAATTTCCTCCCCAACAGTCATGGCAGGCCACACAAAGTGGGGCAAAGTCTCTAGATAACTGAGTGGGGGCAGCAAGACACCAGGCGAACCTCTCCTGGAATGTGTTGACTCTCCGGTCATTACGTCTCCCGAAAACAAGCGAAAGAAGTGCCACCTTTAAGGTCAGGGGAGCTAGTTCCACCAGGGGGATGGCCTTCAGCCCTTCCATACTTTAGACTTCACGCTTCAAAAACCCAACTTTGAGACCAATTTGAAAGGCAACTCTGCCCCTACACCAGCCCCACAAGTTCAGGTTTACCTGACTTGGGCACTAAACCGGACTCCTTCCCCTTCTGTTCTCTGTAGTCGTTGCTCATGGGGGTGACTGACTAGGACAGGCATCAGAGTCCTCTGCCAGGGCCTAGGCTTTGCGTAAGGGAGCTGTGGATGAGGCGCTACTGCTACTCCTTGGCCCTCAGAGCCAGCATGTCTGGGACCTCGCTGGGCAAGAGGCCGAATGCTGCAGGCGTCTGCAGCAGAGAACAACTGCAAATTCATGAATCATCCCTCTTTTGTCCTTCTGCTTAGAAGAATATAATTTGTTAATTTACGGTAGTTCTTATGGCTCAATTGAAGATGCCAACACAGAAAGGGCTGACTGAACTGGGCTCCGTGGCATGCCAAGGCCAGGTAAATCCAACCATGTTTCCAAAGCAAAGGCCTGCCAGTGGTGTCAAACAGGGTGGGACATCCCATGATTAGCCTTGGCAAAAAACGAGTCAACAGGACAGTTGGTGGATGATAAGCACCCTTCTCAGCCAAATGCGGGCTTTCACCAGGCACTGTAAGAGTCAAGCCTGAGAAGGCCCAGGAAGGCTATACAGATGAAGCGATGAGACCTGACGAGTGGAATTACCATTTATGTCAAAATATAAATATGTAAGTAAATCCACAGCCATCATTTCTTGGAAGCGCAGTGTAGTGGGATTCTCGTTATTAAAATGCCTGCGTACTGCATTTATTTTCGGGTTTTTTAGTCATGCAGAAGCATCACTGAGCCAGTGGAGTGCCCTAGGAACTGGGGAAGGGGTGCTCATGCCCGTCTCCCAGGTCAGTCTTCAGGTCAGAGGCTGCTGCTGTCTATAAAATCACAGGAGAGCCATCAGAGAGGGGCAGAGGAGCATAGGGCACATAGGGGCACCAAACACACAGCCCCTTCCCTGGCTTTATAAAGACATCTGTGTCTTTAACACCACCTGGCCCTCTCTCAGGGACTCCAAGACTTCACTGCCAAGATGTGCCTGGCATTGCGCTCATCAACCCTGGGAGACAGGTGCTATTCCTAAGCCCATCACACATAACTGGAAACTGAGGCCCTACCCAGCTGGTACAGCTGCGACTCCAGGCTCCTCACAAAGACAGTCTGGGGCACAGCCCTCTGGCCCCTCTACAGCACAAACCCTGTATCCCACATGGCAAACTCCCCAAGAATCCTTAGAGTCAAATCCAGAAAACTTTCCTGGATGTCAGCTCTGTGCCAGGGCGCCCAGGCAGGGGAGAGGGATCAGGGGATTCAGAGTCACTCGTGGTTCTGGCAAAGAAGTAATAACATTTCGCTGCATGACTGCCGAAGCTTTGATCTCTCCTGATGAGAGGCGTGGGCTAAACAGGCAAGCGCCCAGGCTCTGGCACAGCAGTGGGTGGTGGGCAGGGGCAGAGTGATACCTGCGTGGAGCCAGATCTGTGCCAGTGTCATCCAGGGGTGTAGCGGGCCCTGCTTAGGGGCGCTGCTCTGCAGAGACGAAGCCACTTCTGACAGTGCCTGCTCCACTCTTGAGGCTGCTACCGATGTGGCATGGACCGAGCCTGCGAGAGGTTTTTGAGAAGACTCTATCAGGAGCGAAACAACAGACCCAACCAACCCACCCCTCCCCACAGACAAGTGCTGAACACACACACCCCTTCCCCCAGGATGTTTCTAAGATTTACTGTCCACAAAGAAATGTGGGCAATCGTGGCCTGGGGCCTTAGTTCCCATCCTTTGGCTTTAGCTCATCTTTTTCTCAGCAAACAGAGCACATGCTATGCTAAGTGCCCCTCCAGGAGCTCAGCCTTGCACCGTGTGAGTGCCGGGAAATGGCGGGGATAGCCAGATATACAGCTGTGATGATTCTAGTGTGTGAAAATGACAAAGGGGCATTACAAACACCCCTGTAAGGGCCTAAACCTAGAAACTAAATTGGGGTGGGGGGAGGAGTAGACTTGCCTCCTGGGGAGCATTTGGAGTAGATGTGCTGGCCATTCTCAGGACAAACCCAGCAACTTCCCATTCCCATTTCATTCAAGCCTGGCCTTGGGGAGGTGGGCTATACCCTCGGCTTAGAACCATATTCTAGGGTATTGACTTAAAAACTGCAGAAACAGCACACTTGTGCCCTGTGTATAAGCAGATGTTGCTCCTTAAGGCTAATGCTAAACTAGCAGGGGATGGAATGGGATGGGTTTGTAGCAAAGACTCCTGGGGCTCAGAATATGCACCTGCCTAATTATTCTGTAAGACCTGCTGTCCTGAAAGGCTAAAGAGAGGGGTCGACTGAGCACGTTCACTAGTCAAGGGATAGATGCAGTGCACAAGTCAAAATGCAAAACTCATTTCTCTTCACGTTGACCCCTCAGAGGTCCTGATGATTAGAGACTTCCTCCTTCAACAGAGGCCTGCTTCCCACCTCTTTCCAACATTCACTCTCGGAGGGATGGCTTCAGAATTGAGAGCAGGATGCTCAGTTGTTCCAATTTTGAAACTGTTAATATTCCTATTCAACTGCATCATTCTTAATCTGCACTTCCTCAGAAAGTTTAGTATGGAGAGAAACATTCCAACATGGAGAGTGGTAACTACCAACTCATCATAAAGTTTAAAATAGTAATTATACATAAAGATAAATACTGACTATAAAATAAATGGAGTTATATTCTCACTAATACAAAATTATGAACATAAAAATAATTTCAGTTGCGCTTTGGAGTGCACCCATCATTTATAAATTGTAAGCGTATTCACAGCAATGGATGGGTCATCCATATCATGTTTTCATTGCTCCAATATAATGATGACATGGATGCCTCTAAATGCACCTGAATCCTTTGGTGGGGCTTTGGTGGATGGAAATCAGAGTGGGCTAACAGTTCCCACAAGGATGACCAAGAGGAGAGCAGCCTCTGGAAAGGCCTAGCAAGTCCTGCTGCACAATACAGAACTCAGAGGCTAAGAGTCTAACTGATGGCATTATGATGGGAGAACTTAGGAATTGTGGCTAAGAATCTGTCCTTGTTCAGAAAAACTATGTCTAACTACTATTTTTTAAAAATCTAAATAGCAAAATGATTAAACTGCTGTCAAAATTTCTTGTCACCTTTTTATGGAAAGTAATATGTTAACTTGGGTAACAAGGGCTTGACGTAGGTTCCCTGAGATTTTTAGTAGCAATCATAGTTAAACGAGTAATCTAGAGGCTGTCATTGCCCTGTTCTGCCATTACCAAGCTGGCTACCTTCTCATTGGCTGGAACAGTGGTTCTCAACCTTAACTTCACATCAAAATCATTTGGGGTTTAAAAACTCATGATGTCATAGCTCCATCCCAACCAGCCACATCACTCAGTCTAAGGGTGAGGACTGGCACCTTTGTTAATCAGCCCAGGTGATTCCAATGTGCAGCTAAGACTGAGAACCACTCACCTGGAGAGACAGGAAGCAAGTGTTACTAATTCTGGTCAAAAAAAGCCTGTACATGGGCCAGGCGGCCTGAGCTCTCCTGCTTCCCTGCAGCTCAGGGGTGACCTGGGGAACGGAGCTCCTAGAAGATCTTGTTCTCTAGAACAGGGGTTCTCAGACCTTTTGGTCTCAGAATCTCTTCAGACTCTAAAAAATCATTGAAGACCTAATGAGATGGTTTATATGAATTATATCTATTAATATTTACATTAGAAATAAAAAAGACATGTTTAAAATGTTCACTTATTAATTAAAAAATAACAACAATAAATTATTGCTCTGGAAATATGGCATATTTTTTTTACCAGGTTCTGTGAACCTTTTGCTACAAAAATTTGTGACTTTTGGAGGGGCTAATTTTGCTTTTTGGATTAACTGTTTTGTTTGATCCACAAATAAATAATCAGAACTACTGCCAATGTTTCTTCTCTGTGATATTTAAACACAAGTAAATTAATTCCTAGCATAATATATTCTACTATGAATAAGGTCTGGCAGATAATGATGATGACAGCAGTGAGGATTGTCAGTTTCAGAGAACATACCGTGTTTCCGGCCCTGCAACTTGCACTTTACGTGTACTAATCTGTAACCAGAACTCAGAACACTAGTCTGATTCCAAATCAGTCCTCTAAGTTCAGCTCTGATGCCACCTCCTACAGGAAGGCTGCTGTGAGCCTTCCGCTTCTCCCTACAATAAGTGAGACCTTCTGTTCCTTGGTGCTTCTATGCGGTTGTCACTAACAATGCACAGACCACATATTTTAAAGTTAATGTAACTGTCTCCCTTATTAGACCATGTGGGTCTAGAAGACAGGAACTATGTCCTCAGTCTAGACATTTCCAGGGACTAACAATACCAGACCCATACTAGGTATTAGGTAAATGAGTGTGCAGTGAATGAAGGAGTGCTGTCAATAGACACGTCACTGTCTGAAATTCAGAACAGGGCGGTCCCCTCTTCTGGATGCACGTCTGTGTGCTCTACTCTTCCCCACAGCAATGGCTCAGAGGCCAGGACCCTCACCCACTCAAGGGGCGCTGCAGTGTGGTCTCATCACTTCCAACAATCCGTACTAAAAATGACAGTGACACATGGTTCCAATTAAACACAGACGTTTCCCTTCTCTAATGTAAAATTAAAGTATAGAGAAGGATAACAGGCTTATTAGAAATAATGTTTTTCTTCCTAGTCAATTTCTTGGTACACACATTTCACAAAAGCAGAGAGCCTTCATGTTCTGAACCAGGGATGAATATCAGGGCACTCGCAGGATAATAGCAGATGACTAACAAGAGTGAAATTATGTAAGTTGACATCTATTATTCCTGAAAATAACACAACAAATAAAAGTCTTTCACTGAATTAGTATTGGGGGGAGGGGAAGGATAAACATCGCTTTAATCAGAATGGATACAGCTGGTTAAGAAACAAACCAGGCAGGTGGCTCGAGCCTGTAATCCCAACACTTTGGGAGGTCAAGGCGGGTGGATCACCTGAGGTCAGGAGTTAGAGACCAGCCTGATCAACACGGTGAAACCCTGTCTCTACTAAAAGTACAAAAATTAGCTGGATGTGGTGGCATGCGCCTGTAATCACAGCTACTCAGAAGGCTGAGGCAGGAGAATTGCTTAAACCCTGGATGTAGAGGTTGCAGTGAGCGGAGATTGCCATTGCACTGCAGCCTGGGCGAAAAGAGTGGATTCTATCTCAAAAACAAAAAAACAAACAGACAAAAACAACAAAAACACTGTATTTTATTGTTTCATAGAACTGAAATGGTAAGTGCCTTTACAGACACTGGATTTTGACTTACGCAGGTAAACAGCTGGAAACACTGGCTCTAACCAGCATATTTTTAAAGAACCCCTTTCTTTTTCACCATGGCAAATGTGTTCTCGCATTATATAACAGATGACAGCACTATTAAGGTAGAAATGGGCAAACTGAGGCTTGAAAAAGGAATCAGAAGTTAGAATTAGGACATATTTCCAATTTCAAATCCAAGACTCTGCAGAAATAAGTTTCCAAATAATCAGGTTCAACAGGTAAGCCAGGGAGAGCACCTGGGCTGTGGCACATTGCTCATCTGCCACCTGGCTTCAAGAGGTCCTGCCACTGCCCCAACCCCCAGGGCTGTGTGCTGCACCCCAGCTGCCACGATACACAGGGGCTCTGAAAAGCCACTGCAAGACCCAAGGTACCAAGGGCTGATGCAGGCAG